GGTCATGTTCTCCTGATGCTTTTTCGATCTAGTGCGACTTCCTCACCGGACATGGTCCCCTGATGTTTTTTTCGATGTCGCGGGATATAGAGTTTGAAAATTTTAATTCTTGGCAATAAAATTGTTAGAATTTTTCGGAAATTTAAATTCTTGGTAGTATCAATGCGATTTTTGGAAATTATGATAGCGCAACCTCCTTGTCAGTCATGTTCTCCTGATGCTTTTTCAATTTTGATAGTGCGACTCACACTCCAAGAATATAAATTTCTGAAAGCTATATCCCACAAAATCGAGAAAGCATTAGGAGAATATAACTGGCGAGGAGGAGGTCGCACTTTCAAAAATTCCAGGAATTTCATTGATACTTCCAAGAATTTAAATTATATATATTTGGTACAACAATGAAATCTAAATTTGTTGTGGATAAAACAAACATAAATTTGGTAGTGGGCATTTTTCAGGCGTAGCTGTGAATACTCCGCACGTGTGTGGCACGCATGTGCCATGGCGGTACACGACGCGATTAATGCCGCGGACAAAATTAGCATGCTCTAAGCCCTGCGAAATTCCCCGGTCGAGTTACAAGGGGAGCCTGAAAACCATTTAGAGGCAGTCATTTTGCAATCAGTTTTTACTATTTTGACAATTTAATATGAGAATCTTTTCATTAAACTTGAAAATTCTTTTCTAAAAGTAATTTCAGCTACTAGTCTGCTAAATTTCAATTTGATTCGATTGTTCATCATTTTCAGAAAACGAAAAATATGTTACGTAAGAGAAATGGCAGTACTCCAGCCAGGCTGACGAGAGGACTTTCTCAGAAGGCGTTGGATATTACAGATAGCGCTCTGTCTCCGATAAAATCGCCGACTAGGACTTTCCTCCTGGAAACGCCAGTTCAGTTCACCACGGTACGAAAAATCTCAGGAAGTAATCAAGACTGAGATATATTTGCGTTTGCCTATTCCGAACATTTAAGATTTTTCTTAATCTGCCAAGACATTTAACACCAAGAGACCTAAAATTCGGATTTTAGGGCATGCAATCTCAGGAGAGGCATCTCTTTCTCTTCACCGATCTTCTGCTGATCGCGAAAGCTCGTAGCAGCGGTAACTTTAAGCTGAAGCAAATCGTGAAAATGAGCGAGCTCTGGCTCACGGCCGGTCACATAGAAGACGTGGCAGAAACCAGCAAGTCCGTGGAGACCAGCTTCGTCATCGGCTGGCCCACTACGAACGTTGTGGCCACTTTCATGTAAGCAGACCCTTTTTCCAAAACTGCTTATAACAGACGTCAAAATGATAAAAAATATCACCTAGTCTCGGAGACCTTGCAATTGTTGTCACGGTTAAATTCATTCATGCAGGACCGCTGCGGCACGAGATCTCTGGTGGGGACGTTTGAACGATCTCGTGCAAGAGGAAAGAAGTAAGGAGCCGTCGAAGACGAACATTCAAGTTATGTACCACGACAACGACACGCACACCGACTACGTAAGTACGCCCGTCTTTTCACGCGAGAACGGCTACGTTCGCGATCCATTCTTTGCGCACACTCGAATCCGCGGGTCTACTCGATTATCATTCGACCTTCCTGGTAATATTTTTCTTCGCGAAGCGTCTTTTATACCGCGAACGTCGGTGCCAAGTTAGAATCGTCGCCACGCATTATGCCGGCATTCACCTTCAATCATCGTTCATAATTCATCGATGTTGCATAAAGGTATAAGCCGCTTGGATCGTGAATAAATTTCCGTTAGATAAACGCTGTCTGTCGTCGGTAAACAAGGAGCGACGAATCGCGTGCCGTGTATTATTCATCCCTTTGTAACACCCGGTGAGGAAAGAATCACATACGTGCGGTTTCGCACCTTTGCAGTTCAAGACGATCACGGTTCACTCCGACAAGACGGCGCAGGACTGCGTGAGCAAGGCGATGTCGTTGTGGGATCTTCAAGCTTCTTCAGGACCCTTCCAGCTCTGGGCCCGAACGTTCCCAGACGAGCCGCCGTATCCGTTGATAGGACACGAGCGACCATTCGCCGTGAAGATGTCGCGTCTACGGCACATGCTGTCGACAGACGAGGGCTTCGATCTGGTGCACATCAACAACAGCGGCGTCGACCTCTGCCACTTCATCCTCAGGCCCGTGATGAAAACGCCCGCGAAAAAGAACAATCGGTCGAAAATAACTGGTCTGTTGCGTCGCTCGCTATCGTTGAATCCGCATCTCTTCGGCGTGCCTCTGGCGCGGCTGGACGAGAACGGCCTGCCTAAACCCGTACTCGTGATGCTGCAACAATTATTCGCGAAGGGCCCGTTCATGCAGGGAATATTCCGCAAGTCTGCGAATGTTCGAATCGTTCGAGAGCTGCGTGAACAGATCGAGTCGACGGGAGATCCTAGTTGTTTGGAGGATGCGCCGATCATAGCAGTAGCGGCTTTGCTGAAGGATTTCTTGAGGTCTTTGCCGGATCCTCTCTTGACCTCCCATCTGTTTCCTTTGTGGATGGACAGTTTGGACGCGCCGAGTCCTGTTCAAACTATTAAAAGGTTCACAATTTATTTCAATTAAAATAATCCAATGTTTTTTTATACAAAATTTTTCTGTTAATTAATACACGCATTATTTTGATAAGAAAATGAAAGTAATTGGAGAAAATATTTCAGCATTTTACATAGACTGCCAAAGGCGAATTTCACGTTACTCTCGCATTTAATTTGCGTGCTGCACCATGTGGCGAAGCGGTCGAAACGTAATCTCATGTGCGCCAGCAATCTTGGCGTTTGCTGCGGTCCGAGTTTACTTTGGTCGTCGAACCCGACGGTGAATCAGAGTAGAGCGATCCCGACAATCACGGAAATGTTGATCCGCAACTGCGAAGATTTGTTTGGGGCTGATGTTACGCATCTTCTCGGAGAAGATACGCGTAGCGACAGCGGAGCCGAGGAGAGCACCGATAGTCTTCACTGTAAGTATATAATAACGCCTGTGTTAACTTATCAGAAGATATTAAAGAACATTAACATATTCAAATTCTGAGATGAAACCTTTTTCTTCGCCAGTGAGTAATAATAAACTAATTTCCTTTCTTTGACCAACTGGCAACTTTTATTAGTAATAAGCACTACGTTTCGACTGCGATTCCAGTCTTTCTCAAGTGCATTAAATTAACATAAGTGCGCGCTTACAACATTTGGAAGTTCTCACATTGTGCCAACAATGAGTCAATTTTCAAATTTTAGCGCCTCTGTTAAATTGGAGATATACAAGTATTGTCATCTTGTATGGAGAGACTAAATTCCTGACATCAAGAAGCACGTCTGTAGCATGTGGCAGTCAACCGACAAATAACGACAAATTATTACTAATAAAAGTTGCCAGTTGGTCGAAGAAAGGAAATTAGTTTATTAACATATTAAAACAGAATATTAGAATATCTTAATAATTACCTATTTTTAACAAATTCCTTATGGTGCAGCAGGTGGAATATCGTTGGATAGTCTGGACCTGACGGAGGCACCGCGTAGAGATCCCATGTCCCTGTCAAGGGACTCAGGCTTGACCTTGTCAGATTGCCAATTATTCATCCCGGAATCGCCCGTAGGCTCGGAAGACTCTGCTCCGAATGCCCCGACGTCTACTAATTACGATAAGTCTTTTACGAAGGAGGAGAAGTCTAATGATAAAACCTACATACCAGTTTATAGATGCGGATGGGAGGAAAGGCTGAATGGTTACACGTCCGGCAATCATACAAACAGCACGGAGCACAACTTCAGAGAGGAAAAGGCCAACGAGTGTTACCCCAATCCGGCTCAGTCGTCCAATTTCCAACGGCAAGATTGGCTACGGGCGCAACTCAAAAGAACACCTAGAACAAACAAATTGGACGAGCATGAGCACAGAAAGGAGAGATTTGGCGACAAGGACATATATGATAGAGAGTACCTTAGACAGGATACGATGAAAGAAAATGTGGAGAACTGCAAGGCTTATCGGAGCAGACAGTTGAACGGCAGCTATGATATACTATCGGAGGATTATAATAGCAAGAGCTTGCAGCAAGATATCCGGAGTGCCGAACGAGTGTCAATTCACGATTCAGAGCAAGATCTAACGGGTGGTGGTGATACATCTCGTTCTGGCAGCGACTGCTATGAGTTCAAGAAGGTCAAGTCTTCCGAGGTCCAGTACGTGAGTCTGGAATCACCGATGTCGGAGAAAGAGCGCTGTCGCCAAGCCCGCGACCGTGAATTATACGATGATTTCGTTAGAGTAAAGGCTTCCATATACATGGAGGCGTTGAAGTATTGCAAGAGTAAGGAATCGAATGGCGAATCCGATGGTAAAGTTACATACTGCCAGGACAGGAGTCGATCAACCGAGATCTATGGAACCGCGGATGCGAACGATTCCTATAAAAGCGTAGTCGACCTTAGTGAGGATGAGCAGGAGAAAAGAACTACATCTTGGCCAGATACACCACCGCCGTTACCACCGAGGCTTAGACACCTGCCGCCGGTGCACATGAATCTCGAAGACAGGCATAAAGTGGCGGGCAGATCTAGATCTTTACCACCGCCACCGCCCTATCGACCTCCACCGCAACCTCGCGCTCCCATCACCACGAGGCATCTAGGATTCGGCAGATCCGTTGTGGATGATGAGAGCTACGTCTGAGAACAAACGGCGGATTCACACTGGCTTTTAATCATCGAATATGCCCCTTTCCCTCCATCCCGTTATCCCGGTGTGTATTAGGGCTGTTACTTTTGATAACTTCGAAGATTCGAAGCTTCCAAGTTCGAATTTAACTTCGAAGCTTCGAAGCTTCGAAAAATTTATTCGTGCAAGTGGTGAATTTATTTAAAGAACACTAAAAATATTGTTAATAAAAAGTACTTATTTAGGTATGTTGAAAAATAGGTGATTACTTCTACATTATAATTTTGGAGTACCATAATATATTTGTTTAAGACCGCGTAATTTAATCTTCAAAAATGGCTAAGTGAATCAATTAAGTGTTGTATTAACACTTGAAAAATTCGCATAAATTTAATGCGAATTATATCGCTAATTAATAATTTAATTTATTTAAAATTTATCTGAATATTTATACAAATACTTGGTTTTATAAATTATCGATTTATTGTTTGTGTGCATTCTCAATTTTTATCCACGTCGCGCGTCTATCACGTACATTCACTTGAACAATATTTAATATAGAAACTTTTTAAATAAATAGTGCAGCAGTATTGCAAGAGCATTTCTCATTGAATTGTTCGTGTCTATAGAATTTTTTATTGACTACACAATTTTATAAATATTCAAAAAATAAGTAAGATCTGTCAAGACTGAGGCAAAAGTCACAAAATCAGTAGATGGATATGACATTGACGCGAGTAATTAGTCAATTGTTGAAACGAATGTAAAACTTCTTTCTCGTTTCGTGGCGAGAATATATTATGCTCATAATGTGTACATAAGGAGGACAGTTTCGTTGCGATCGTCAAAACAATATAATTGTAACATCAAATAATAAAGTATAATAATAAAGTATCTAGTTTGTATAAATATTCATTTTAGTTGGCGCCATTTGATATCATTCCTTTTGTTAACAATTTTCAAGCAACGCGTGATTAAACAAATATGCAATATACATGTTATAATACTTCAAAATTATACAATAATTCAGAAGTAATGACCTATTTTTCAACATATATAAATTAATACGTTTTATTTGCAATATTTTTAATGTTCTTTGAATAAATTCGTAACTCGCACGAATAAATTTTTCGAAGTTACGAAGTAAACTTCGAGCTTCGAAGATTTCGAAAATTCAAAGTCAATTTCGAAGCTTCGAATGTTCGAATGTTGAAGCCTTCGAAGGAAATCACCAGTCCTAGTGTGTATAATATCCAAGTCGTAGATTTGCTACGACAATTGAACCTAGTCCAAACCGAAACGTGCATATCGGGATAGAGGAATGGTCACGTTTAATCGTGCCGTCGCGATTTTTTTTTTTTAATTAAGAGCGACGAATACTTATCGTCCTTCTTTGATCAAACTTAGAAATAGCGAGATGAGTGAGACGAAGTGACACGGCAAATGGTAAAGTTCGCCGTTTATTTGTGACCGCCGACAATAGATCTTGGCCCGTGTTCTTGTGTTTTCGGCACTAAAAATGTTCACATTCATCTATCTTGTTGACTTGAATTTTTCGCATAAGCAGACGAAACTCTGATTCAGATGGTTGTATTCAGGGCT